ATGATAAAAGAATCACCCGGTATACATAATTTGGAAAATTTACAAAAGGAAATGGGGAAATTAAAATGACGAGGGACCCGCGTCTTGCAACGCCTCAATTATCGTGCCTGATCAGGTAAGTTATTAATATACATAATATACATGATAATTTATTATAAGAAAACAATATAAGAAAAAAAAATAAAGGGCACGCGTCTTGCAATGCTTATTACGGGCCGGTAGAGTAGGGCAAGACACATAAGTAAACAGCAATATATTTCATATTAATTAAGTTTGTGAACGACACTCACATTTGAACGATCGCTATACTTAATTGATTATTATTATTAATAGTAATATGAACATTTTCAGGTGATTCTGTTTTTCGCTGTTTATTTTTACCSAAATCGGTCTGTACGATGCCAATCAAAAAAGATGCTGCATCTACAACTGTATCAATATTTGACACATCACGTGTTTCGATGTATATCGACTATAATAATAGTCAATTGACATGATCAATTTCTTTACTTCACTAATTAAATCGAATAAAGTGAAATTTTGTAAATCCACTTTGAATTTTCTTTGGTTCCTTCAAAATATAAAAACTTTAAGTTAAGTTAAAACCACAAAAATATTTAACCATCACTTAACCGGCTGAATTCTAACGGTTTATTAGACACTTTACCGGATATTCCGGTGCACGCGAATTGCGTACTAAGTCTGGTAAAGAACCTATTTCACGATCCTAGTACGTTTCAGCGCGGGTGCCGAAGCCAAAACCTTTCTGCATGATGTATACATGTTTTTAACGATTCTTATCTGATTCAGCGCGAGGCTGAAATGTTCACAAGTTTTAACGTCACTATTTGAAACAACACAAGATGTATCAAACTTAAAAATTTGACTTACATCCATTTTTACTTTAATGAAGAATCTAATAATTAGRCATCTACATTTAACAATATATATAAATTAAAATTACCACACTAAATAGGTATTTATGTCACATAGAACGTTGTGAACACACTAACCGATATTTACAATTTTATCTTATTTGATGAGTACATTTTACAGACGATTTCGAAAGTTACTCTGTGCACACTAATAGTTGCTATCATAATCGTTAAATCGTTATAAACTTTTAAGACAAAATACGTAACTAATAAGAAACGTACTAGGATCGGGAAATACGCCAACGGTTGTGGAGAGCTACCGTGTCAATTGTAAAAACGGCCCTTAGTCGTGTGCAAGATATAACAATCAACTGATACGGACCGTCGTTACTCGACGTATCGTGAATGAATATACGATTTGCATACAAATAATGCCTTTTATTGTATAATTTATGTATGGT